TAATTATCTGCGGTTATTGCAAAAATAAGTTATTGAAAATCGTCTTTGTTTCTGTAATTTTCTATGAAATCTTATTAATAAGCAGTCATTTACCATGACAGCTGAATAGACTGACTTCTATTGAAGAGGCTACCTATGAAAATATGAAAGTTTAGGTAAAATTGTATCAATGCCTGTACTCACTTTTCCAATTAAAAATATCGATGTCAATTTTAACGGAAATTTCTAATTCAAAATTTTATTCGTCAAATTTTTAACGAATACCTAATTCAAATTCTTAGAAATCGTTAAAAATCAAATCCTCAGAAACCGTTAAAATCGTCAATAATTCCAATGAAACCCATAAAACTTAATTCAACAGAAAAATCTTTTGATTCATCTGATCCAAAAGGCACATCAACTTAATTCCCTACTTATTAACATTCTCTTACGCAAGAAATATGAAAATCAGCAACTTAAGGAGAATTAATAAACTAATTTATGCTAAATTGTTTGCAATAACCTTACACCTTAATGTGAATCGGCTTTTAAGGTTATTATTCAGCTATTGCGTGCTATTTCTTTGTGCCAATAAACTGTGTAATGTGAATTGCCAACGAACCGAAAATTGAGTTCAGATTGACATGATAGATTTATTAAAGTCGTCGATGTCATCTTCAATTTCAGTCAGCCGCTCACCATAAAAATGCGGGATTTTTGGCATGCTTAATAGCTTTTTTATGTGGGAGAGACATTTTCATCATAATTTTTGTAAGAGGCTCGATCATAAATGAGGTTTTATATGAGAATTGGAATTTAGGGGTCACTGGGGTCAGTTCTTAGGATGCAGACCCAAATATACTCAAGGGTTGCACTTTGGGGCTGTCTTAAAGGTCAAAATTTCAACAAATTAAGCCCAATGAGTCCTCAGAACCCGAAATCTCGATTCCCATCATTTATGATCGACCCCACATATCATTTAATATCCAAAATTCGAGAGGGAAACTTGAAGATGAATCACAATTTTATCTCAATGCTGTTTTGTTTTACGCTCACTTGGCATCGATCCATATTCAATTTAGTGTTTTACAGGCTGCTTAAATGACCGCAAATCACTGATGCGAGCTCAAAATTCTCTTTTACATTTTGTGTTTCAAGTTTAAATTACGCCTTTACACAATATTTTGATGTTTTGATTTATGCCTGAATCTCCGTTAGAATTGAGATACATTTTATGATAAGCATAAAGCATGTAGCACTATGTAGCATAAAAATATTTATTATTAAATGCATAACGGATGTGGAAATAAGCCATCTTGTATTGTCTTGCTCCGAAAATTGGCTGTTTACGATCTGTCTGTGGATGAATACATAAAAGTCAAACAGCTTTATGTGCCTTGATTTATTCTAACTCCAATAATCGTGAAACCGCAACAGTTTTTGAATTCTTAAACCAATTGAAATTTCAATTGATGCAAAAGTCGTGTAATTTACACGACCATTGACTTTATAGTCTCATCAAAATTGCAAATGCTCAAGCATGCCTTTCTACTTTATTGCTGAGTTTATCTTGCAAGACAAATGGATTAATTAAAGAATTTTATGGCTCAAAAATTACATTTCCATCTCAAATTTTATTAATTTTGACTGTCCTCATGTTCAGCAGTCAGTAACACAATCTAGACAAAAGAAAGAGAATTGGGAAATTTTTGTGCGACTGCAAATTGCTCATAAATCAACTTTTGAAACGACGATTGCAAAGTCTTGTGGACTTGTGGGAAATTGACAATTGACCGCTAGTGTTGACTAAATTTATGTCTGTTTGTCTATATTTAAGCTTCTTAATTATAATAAATTAAATATTACCGGTCAAAAACATTTGAATTTTAGACTGAACCGATTCGAAAATTCAAATATTGTTTTACCGTTAAAATTCAAATATTTTTTTAACGTTTTTTTTTTAAAAATCAATTCTTTCAGATTCTCTGAATCCCATACTCACATTGCGCTTTATTCAGCAATAAAATTTGACAACATTCATACTAGATTTCTCATTTTTAAAACGAAATACTTGGCGATATCCAACGTGTCGCATTAAATCACATTCATGAGATTTATAGATGAGAAAAATAAGCTCATTGCCTGAATGAGTCTATTGTGAATGGCAAATTTATTCGAAATATTGCAATAAGTAGTAACTTGTAATTATGCGATTAAAATACAAAATTGTACGAACAATCGAGGATGGATGATGTAATGATGATATAAAAGTAATCTCAAATAAATTATAAATTAATCGGAAAATATGCAGCATAATGTGCATCTTCATAAAATTTCCATATATCCACAAACAATGACGATTGCTTTGATTTGATGCCGGCATCATGGCACAAAAAGTACAATTGAAAATGTGGAATCTTAGCTGAATTTAATGAAATGGAAATGATTCTTTTTTATGCATGAATACTTCATCAAAATGGAAACTTTACTTCCATATCACCGTCCAGAAATCTTATTACATTGTTTAAGCTACTTTCAAGGAAATTCAAAGCACTGTGAATCTAGTGCAAACGATAATTAGGTAATTAAGAAATCAAGATCGTACTAGGAAGTCATTAAGTGCCTAGCATAAATATTCGTAGAATGCGACATTCTCGTCCTTGACTTACATTTTACTAGACTTCTTGTAATTTAGAATAATACATATTCATATTCGACTGTTGCTGCCTGCATGTCTAGCTGACCAGTCTTGAAGCTCACTTGATTCCAAAAATAATTATTCCATATTAGGGAAATGCTAATTTGTTGCACATTCATTCGCTTGTGTAATGTGTATATGCAATAAGTCACGTATCAAGCTACCGCTTCTTCTCAGTACTTCCTTAAATAAATTAAGTTTTTTTTTGTGGAATTCAACGGAAATTTCAATTTTGAAATTCAATTGAAAGCGGCGCTTTAGGTTTTCTTGATTTGAATTTTTGAAACCCGTTATAATTTGAATTATCAGAAACCGTTAGAAACTTTTGGTCACGTGACAAATTATGAAGCTCAATATGATTAATATGCGATTCATTAATCATAAATACGTCATATCATGGTTGATTTGTTTTAAATAGAGAATGGAAGCAATTCTAAGTAGCCAAAACACGACGTGAGCAACAATATATTAAGTTTCAAATTGATGTAATTTGTAGTTTATATCATAGCACATGCAGCCATGCATTACAAAACTCAAAAGATGAAAATTTATTTTCCGAGAAAAAAAGATGAAACTTGAGAAAATTGTTATTGTTATTTACACCTACATGCTGCGTGCTTTACTAGCTAGCTTGCTTCATCCATTAAAAGAAAATTTCTCAGCTGGAATTTCCTTTACATCAACAAAAGTTTACACAACAATTAAAAGAAAATAAGTAACATGAAACCTACCGCAATTGGATATTCTTTGAGTCGCTTCCATTTCAATCAACAGGCACGAGAAAAGAATTTGTTTTGGGTTAATTAAAGACTAGAAATTTCCTCTCGAAATTCAAAAAGAAAGGAAACAACACTTGCTACTTAATTTATGTACAGCTTCATTTCATGTTCCTACATATTTCTATAATTAAATCTTTTTTGATTCCTGTGTCGGAAAAATCAATTCATCAAAGGCTGTGATGTGAGCATTAAGTGTCAAAAATGTATTCATGTGATACTTTAATTACTTCAAAATATCCATTCGAGCATGTTTATAATGAATTTCATAGGAACTTGTCGATATATTCGAACTAATTAAGTCATATCCATATTGTATACACAATGTATTCGTTGAAAAAAATGTCCGGTCGAGACGGGAAGCATTCAGAATGTGATTGGAAGTACGCTTACTGATTATCAATAGCTTACGTAATACGTACTTTTACGTACGTATATTTGTTTACAATCAAATTAATTCAGTCATAGAAAAAAGAAAACGGCAAGTTTAAGGTTCACAGAACAAGAAAAATAGACAGCAGTTTATATTGTTCGATAAAATAGCTGCATGGCAGACGAGTTAATATAAAATATTATAGTACGTAGACTTGTTAATTAATTTTTAATTGAATAATTGAATTATGGGAAAAAGTAATATCCAAATGGACACATCTCACGCAATTGATCCTTTGTATAACGCAAAAAAGGCTTGCTTGGAATGTCTTCATCAACTTCCGTTATGTCTTCCTTTATTTGAACTCGTTTGAATGGCTTATTATTCATAGCTTTTCGTGGAACACGAAAGGCTCGAGAACCAGAAGCAACTGGACTACGGAAACGGATAGACTTCTTCTTGCTAGATTGCTGTTCTTCATAATATTGTCGAATACGAATTTGCTTCATCTTTCGAGCATGTAACTGCTTCTTTGTCAACTTTATACGTCCATCAGGTAGAAATTCATCGTTATTATTTAATTCCATCATTCCTAGTTCATCGGAAAGCTTGTCAATGTTATTTTGTTCCTTGATTTTACGAATGCGACGTTGCTCAGCAATTTGCATCGATTGAATAGCCTGCTTGCGGCGTTTTTCAGCTAAATCATTATTTGGATTATTGTACTTCTTCTGATTGAACTTCTTAAAATTATTACGACATCGATTTTCCTTTGGCTCAAAAGGCTTTCTTGGATAGAATCGTTGCTTCCGTTGATTGCCAATATTTTCGGCCTTTTCAACGATATTTTGCCACTTTTGTTCCCGTAGAGCTGTTGTATCTGCTTCATCCTGATGCTTTGGAGTGCTTGTAATGACTTGATTCGACATCTCGTAATAAATTTAAATTAATTGTCAAGAGCTTCTTAAGAAATGCGTCCGATTACAACGACAGATAACACACAAATGAAGAATTAATTAATTTCAAGGTCAATTATTGGATTTCTTTTAACTGTTATGAATTCAAATTTTCTCCCGCACTTATATTGTTGAAATTCAAATATCAACCGTTATTGATCTTACCTTGTGAATTCAAATAAATTATAACCGTTAAATTTTCATTCTTGTCATTTTAGATCACAGCCGATTGTCTCAACAGCAATCGCCAGTAAATGGATCAAGGAGTTCAATTCGCTCGAATCATTCGTCAAAGGCTGCAACACCACCGCCTAATAACAACAGCAATAGAAATGGAATTATTGAATCGATAAATGTGTCACCAAAATCTAAAGCTAAGGAACTTGAAAACAATAATAGCAGTAAGATAGTCAATAAGAATAACGCGAATGTTAACAAAATGCAACAGGAACAGCTGCTTCAGCAAATCATTGATCAACAAGCACTTGAGAAACAAAAGCACATGTTGGACCTATTGCATGCTAATAAAAATGTGGAAGCGTTAGGCGTACTTGTTCAATACTTAGTCTTTAATGTAAGTATTTTCCCACTTTATAGATGCGTTATTAGATCACTTGACATAGCCACGAATGAATAGAATTCATGATTACTAAAACTTGAGATTTGCATATCTCATGAATATTTATGCCAATTTAAGGATCTTAACAGATGTTTTGTGTTAAGTCTTAAAGGAAGAAAATTTGTGAAATGCACAAATAAACACTTTCTTGAAACTACCTGCCTGAATCTTAAAACAACAAACGAGGAAACTGCAATAAAGTTCCAAAAATAATTTTTTACGACAGGAATTACCATAATTTTGTATGAAATATTGTTTAAATGTGCTGCGATGTTGTCAAACTTTATATGACAATTATGTGCGTGTACCTGTGCAGCACAAAAAAGGACAGGTTCAAACTTAAAATGTGTGACTGCAATAAAATTAATTTTATTTTCCATAATTTGCATTTGAATGGAATAAAAAATTGATTAGACATGTTTTGAGGCTTCCTTTGACACCTTTTTTGGCACTTTATGAATTTATCTACATGCTTTAGGCTTGCTTTTGTATGTAATCTTTTTGGGGTCATGAATAAATGATGTCTTTGAATGTCACGGGATCTACATTTATTAAACTTCTTTGGATTTATTTGACATTTTGTGACCAGCTCTATATCCTTAACATCAAGCATTATCCCAACATATCTTCAAAAACTCTCAACATCATCCATAAACAGCCCCAAATCAGGTTAACAAAATAACTGAGTAACGAAAAATAACTGATTATGTAGATAGAATTAAGCATGACTAGTCATTTCCATATCTCGATTGCCAAAGAATTGAGTGACCTGAGTGAACTTTGATTGAAACAACAAGAGTCGTATGATTCCTCACATAACAATGTGATAAAATTGTTTAAATAACATATAGTCATGGATGTTCATGAGGTAAAGTCGTGTCAAGCGTGCGATTTTTTGTAATTTCCATCCAAAATTAAAAATTTTATTCATTAATTAAAAATAAGATTTAAGATTTAACAATTAATCCTCGCATTCCGAAGCCTTAAATGCAAGTTTTCCCATCATTATGATGAACTTCCTCTTCTCAGCTTCCTTCTGCTCAGCAGTTAAATTAATTTCACTAAAGAAGGATGTAGCAATCATTTTATCATAATTATTGCCACCTCTGAATGCATTTAATCGACATTCGATATCCTTAACAGCTATTTGTGGATCTTCTTTTTTCATGCCGTCAGTCAAGTCATCTTCAAGTTTTTTAATCACTTCCTTAAGTTTTTCTACACAGTTGACATTTTCTATATTAATATTTTTTGGATTTAAAGGCAGACTGTAAATAGACGTGTCTAACAATTGATTATCAATTGCATGCTTTCTAGCACAATAATCTGCTTCTAAATCTTCTTCTTCTCCACTTTCTTCGGTGAACAATTCATCGAAAAGATCATTAAAATCTTCCTTAAATAAGCAGTACATAACTGAGTCATCGATCACGTTTTCAAGTTTCTCATTTGCGTCGCTTACTTCCGTTTCATATCTCTTGCCTGTACTTTCTTGTAGAACTTCATAGACAACCGCCTTAAAAGTTGCCTCAACGATTTTATTCTTCCTTAAATTTTCACCTACACATTGTTGATTATTTTGGATGTTCAGGCGCTTCTTGATATCCTTAACTGTCTCCTTGATTAGTTCCTTCTTCATATTGTTAATCAGATCACTACAATCTATTATATTTAATGCACTTGGAAGCTCCTGGATCTCATCATCTATTTCATTTGCATCCTTAAGATGCTTTATGTAACAATTTATTATTACCGGATTGTAACTTTTTGCAGCTTCGACAGACGAATAGCTGATAAGAATAATTAATGCGATTACTTGAAGAAACTTCATGTTGATTATAATAAAATCTGTGACTGAATGTGACGAGAAGTAAGAAGATCCTGCAATTTATACTAAAATTGATGAAAATAATAACGATGAGAGAACGAGATGATTAAGTCATTGTTTTGTTAATGATTTATAATTAAGTTAATTAATATTTAAAGTTGACGGATTTATTTTTAATCAACTGGATTTTACTTTAATCCATCGGATTTATTTACAAATTTAAAATATTGCCTAATTCTGATCATTGAAGCACTTTGTGACTTCGTTAATTACAAGAGAGATAAATTTAATGAAATTTCGTCTGTGCCTTGACTTTTCATCGCTGCTTAAGTTGATTCTGGCAACAACAGCTGTTTCTATGATTTTTTGAGTATATTTTCCATCTCGATATTTCTGCAAAGTGCAGTCAATCTGCTCATTAGTGACATCAGGCTTTTCTTCTTTTAAATTCTCCGTCAATGAATCCTCAGTGTCTTTCATAAAAGTGTCAATAATATCATCACAATCTGTTATTGATACTTTGATCTCTGGATCTAATGTTAGATTAGCTGATTGAATGTTGAGCAATCCATTATCGATGACATACTTTCGTGTACAATACAATGTCACCTTATCATCCTCAGTGTCCCCCTCATTATCATAGAAATCGTCATACAATAGTCCAAGTTCATTCTCATGTAAACAGTACTTAATTGCCAATTCTGATTCATGATCTGACAAATGTCTCATTTCGTCAATTTTCTTCTTTTTGGCTACTTCTGATAGTGCGGACGCGTCGTAAATTGCATGCTTCATTTGAATCTCTGCCCAATATTCTGTCTTTAAGTAATCAACAATACAATCAGCAATTGGAGCTGTTTTCTTGCTCTTTCTCATTCTTGTCTTGACTGCCTTAAAAATCTCCGTTTTAACATTTTTGATTCTCAATTCACAGTCGGTTATAGTATTTCTCGTATGTAGTTCGGGAAAGTCAGATTCGAGTCTCTTTAGGGCTTTTAAGTGACGAATATAGCAATTGATTAACGATTGTGTTGAATAATCGATGACCTCTCGAGCTTGTAATTTGTCAGATGACAGTAATGTAAAAAGTAGAATTATTAATCTGGAAGTAAACATTGAGTGATCAGAATTCTCGAGAATAATGTGCATTAATTAAATTTGAGTGGTTGTTTCAAAAATTATGTAACGTATTTTAGAATTTTGAATTTTAACGGATTTTTGTGATTTGAAGCTTAACGAAAGATTTTGAATGTTTAACGAACTCTTGAAATTTTAAATTTAACGGTTTATTAATCCTCACCCATAACTCACTTACTACTCATACTCTTTGAGTAAATAAATCAAATAAGATGAGGACGTGCAAATTTTTAATAACTGACTGTGGTTTCTACACAGACTCAAATATTTGTTTATACAAAAAAGAAGTTTCATGCTAATTCAGTTCAAACTAGACAAGTTTGGTTTCATAATAAATTTACTCAGTTCCCACAATTTATGTATACACAAAATGTCCTAGATTCCAATTATAATATTTCACGTGATGCACTATAAACTTCTTTATGACACACAAAAAAAAAATAAGAATCAAGTCCGGAAATTTCCCAAACAAAAAAGTCAATTGACAAAAGTTCCTTACAAAAAATTCATTATATAAAATTTAAGTAGAGCTTGTGTATGCCTCGATCAAAATATAAATACGAACTGACGTTGATTTAATAAACAAAATTTTTTTTAAAATGCTTTATCAGCACTGAATATTTTTGAACCATGACAAATTGAGAAATTAGAATCACTTGAGATGTTTGAGAAATTAAATATTTTGACAGATAATTAAATTGAATAAAATGTGTTGGACTCTAACAGCTAAAAAGTAGATTAAAATAAATAAGAGAGCTTCATAGACTTTATACACGCTTTATTTACCAAAAAGTTTATCACATTAATTATAGTAATACAAAAATAAGTTTCATAATAATTTAATTTTCACATGATCGATGGCAGCCTTCACGCCTTAATTTGTTTGGTTAAGTTGCTGTAACTTTGTCATTCTTCATGTAAATTGTTAGATATTTAAGGTTAAATGCCATATTGGGGGTTAAATACGTACGTAATTTTAAAAAAACGTACGTAAAATGCTTAAAATAAATTCAAATATAAAAAATACGTTAAAAATTCAAGTACAAAAAATAAGTCAAATCAACAACTTTTATGGTCTAACATGATCACAGCACAGATCATCTAAAGGAATAATATTCTTCTGTTTATGAAAGTCCAGAACTTCCTTCGCATACACTTTCTCCTTTTCCTTCCTTTCATCCTCAGAAATATTTATTTCAGTGAGAAAAATAACGGCCCAATTTTTACTAAGAAAGTTCAATGCCTCATTATCGTCTGTAAATTTAAAAAGTGATTTTGGTGATGCTTCGTCTTTGCTTCGTTCCGCATTAATTCGGGTCTCGATGAAATTTGCGTTCTCTTTGACTATTTTTGAGATTATGTCTTCATAGTTTACGTCCGGGATTTTTACATTGAATGGATTAAGTGTCAGGTTGTATTCCTTTAATCCCAAGACATTGTGATCAATAACGTACTTGCGTTTACAAAAGTTCTTGATCCTCTCATAATTAAAGGTCTCGTAAATTGTATTGAATGTGCACAATGAGGCTGCATCTGCGATTAATTGAGTAATTAAACTTTTTGTCTTCTCCTGATCCAGTACTAGATTATAAGAAATAATTCCAACTGACTTATAAACAATCAATTTCAGCATATGATCACCAATTTCACGTGATTTTATTTCCTTATCAAAGCATTCGCGTTCCTTGTCTAAACTATTTTCAAAATTCAACGTTCCAAGGTCAAGTGCTGTTGTTGCTTTAAGCTTCTCATAATAAATGTTTTTAACATTATTGACAATTTTTTCACACCTTCTTATTGTTCTTATTGACGGCGCTTCGTCAAAATCTGAAACCAAAATTTTCTTCTCTTTCAAGTGACGAATGAAGCAATTTAATTTCGCATTATCGTAACTTTGTGCTGATGATTGATTGAGAATTGAAATCATAAAAACAAAAGTGATGAAAATACAGCTGAAATAAAAAAAACTTGTAATGATTTCTCAAGATGC